CCCTTCCTTACTTGAAAACTAACATATTTGTTAAAGAAAATATCTATATGGGTATAGATATAGATATACACATATAGACACACACAATTATTTAGGTGTATAGAGGAAGAGTTTTAGTTCTGTCTGCCATACTGTCAGAAATGGACATATTGCATTTAAATATCTTTTAAATACATCATGTCCCACCATCTCCACTGCCACTAACCTCATGCAGGTCCTCACTGGTTTTCCCACTCTTTTCCCCTTTCAACCAGTTTTACTACAGCCTGAGCACCCTTTCTGAAACACAATCTGTTGCTGTCACTCCCCATTGTTCTTAGTGTAAGGACTGAATTATTTAATATGGCCCAATGCTCTTCATGACTTAAAATTCTTATCTCTACATATTCCTGTGTCACATGAGCACCACCCAACTCCAAAATGTTTTATTCTGCTATAAAAGTTGCTACCTAGCCTTATGGAGGAATTATTTTATGTGTGTTTAATAAATATTATTTTAGAGTTGATGTTGCAAAAACCTTAAGTATTATCATTGCTATTTTATAGGGAGAAATAGAAAGGGTAAGTGACTTACCCAAAGTCACACAGCTATTATTCAGAGCACTTGAGATTTCATCTCATGTCTGGCTGACTCCTAAGATCCTTATATTAATTCCTGATCCTCCTGTGCTTCCTTTCTCCTTTCTGGGCTTTTGTTCCTCTTCCTAGAACATATCTTGTCCTTCCCTCTCCATCATGCCTTTTTCATCTTTCAAGTCTTATTTGATCAAGTGCTCTTTTTAATGTGCCTTTTTACTCTGTCATAATATCTCAGTTTTTTATTCTTCTGCATTTCCCTTTAGATTCTAAGCTGCGTGACAGCAGAGACCAAATCTACCTTGTTCTCAGTGGCATCTTTAATACCATGACACATACTTTCTAAAAAAATCTCTCATATACTGGTTCCAAAAACTCTGATGTAATTTAAGAAAAGAGATTTTGTTTCATGGTAAATCAAAGCATGGGGACTTTAATTTTTTATTTTATTTTTTCATTTCAGGAGAACCAGTCAAATAGAGTACTGATTTGATTTACTGTTTTTAGTGTAAAGC